GGGGCCCTTTGCCTCCTCTGCAAAGACATCTAGGGATTGTTAAAACCACACTGACCTGCGGTGTGTATGTGGTGCGCGGTGCGTGCGCGCACATGGGCATAAAACCACTTCCTTGTAAGCTTGTTGAGTATGAGGAAGTTGGGAAAGTTGGTAACCACTTTTTTTTAATGTTGAGGTTAATATGGAAAGTATAGAAAGTTCTGGTGAGCTCATATTTTGTGTTTCGTGTAATTCTATAGAAAATAGAGAGTTGTAGATTTAAAGCAGAACTCCGGCCTTCCCTTCAGTCTTACACAGTTGTGCCGGCTCCTCTCCTGGACTGAAGTTACTTCCTCTGATGTCACTGCACACTGTGAGCTGTTGGCATGGTGCTGTGATGCTTACAGGAAGGTATGTATGGCACCCTGCTGGTCCCTCATACCAGCCGTAATCTGCCTGCATCGAAGCACAGGGACCCAATGATGATGTCACTGGGTCTGAATTATTATTATTATTATACAGGATTTATATAGCGCCAACAGTTTGCGCAGAGCTTTACAATATAAGGAAGACGTTACAATTAAAATACAATTCAAGACAAGATGGTAAAGAGGGCCCTGCCCCCGAGGGCTTCCAATCTAAAACAAGGTTTGTAAACAAGATGGAATGGTTTTATTTAATATTATTATTATTAGCATGTTAATGAAAGGGGAGGAACCTGGGAAGGCAAAATATCAGCAGGTTAAAATTCAGCTGTCAATCACAAGGTAGGCAGACCTGATGGGGAACTAGTCTCTCAGATTCCCTATTAGTGTCTGCCCACCCACAGCAAATCTCTTTGGCTGCTCATGCACAGGCACAGTGGTCCTGAGGACTTTGTGCTGGATATTCCAGCCTCAGTGCCGGCCTCTGGTTTCTAACTGGTACATGAATCTGATATTTGTTATGTGGCGAAGTGTCTATGACATTCCTTATGATTTCCACGGCTGGACTTTAGCTGCTTCTGAACTCTGCAGTCTGAATAAGCCCTTGCAATTTTTCTCATACAAGGGAGCCAGAGCCTGAGTAGAAAAGCTTCTCCCTGGCCAGCATGCTACAGAGAAGGACCCTTGCTCTCTGTGTAGAAGCAGTGATCTCTCTGCTGAGGTCCAACACACTCTGCTGAGTCTGACCAATAGCTCCATGATCAAGAAAGGTCATGCTCCTTGCTGATTGGAGAGCGCTGGCTCTAATTCATAATGGACTTCTTCAGAGGCCACTACTTCCACACAGAGCGCAATGGTCTAACACAGCGTTTCTCAGCCTGTTTTTAGTCACAGCACCCTTTTAAAAATATGCAAAATCTCGCGGCACCCCTTTCTAAAATCATAGGCCCACACAAGCACATACATTGGGTTCCCCCTTCACATGACCGTCCCCCTTCACAT